GGTATAAGTATACCGGTTTTATTAGCGAATAGGTCTACAACCTATGTCGACACTTTTTAATATTGTGTCGGTACTTTGTGTCCAGAATGGAAGAAAAATGTGTCGATACCGTGTCAAAAAGTGTCGACATTTACACATCGGAACCCAGAATTATAATGTAATAGATAATTTTGTAATATAACCGGTATAAATATACCGGTTTTATGAGCGAATAGGTCTACAACCTATATCGACACTTTTTAATTTTGTGTCGGTACTTGATGTCCAAAATTATCATGTACTAGATAATTTTGTAATATAACCGGTATAAGTATACCGGTTTTATTAGCGAATAGGTCTACAACCTATGTCGACACTTTTTAATATTGTGTCGGTACTTTGTGTCCAGAATGGAAGAAAAATGTGTCGATACCGTGTCAAAAAGTGTCGACATTTACACATCGGAACCCAGAATTATAATGTAATAGATAATTTTGTAATATAACCGGTATAAATATATCGGTTTTATGAGCGAATAGGTCTACAACCTATATCGACACTTTTTAATATTGTGTCGCTAATTTTAAGTAACGCGGTTTTTCTTCCTTCATTTAAAATATTTATATGTACATGTTTCTTGTACACAATAGGAGTCATGTTGATACTTACGATATATGGAGATCGTTGTCATTCCATTCCGTCTTCGAAAAAATCAGTTGATGTAGGCTGTGTGCTTGTACTCAAACTGAGCTTGACTTGAGGACATGTTAGTTTGTTATGTCCCTCACCGTTGCAGTACCCACATCGCCTAATTTTCTTCTCGACCTTGTTCTTCGGCACTTCTTTTCGCTTGCGTTGTTTTCGTTGAGGGTCACGAACATTGTTTACTACAATACTCTGGTTGAATGAATCATTCAAACCAAACGAGTTTTCTAATTCTTCTATTAGTTTTTTCATCTCATCTCTTGCGGTTTTGAAAGACTCGTCTGTCTTTGATGCAATGTAGCATAACCTACTTGACGTTGAACGTAGAGCAGCGAACCTTGCCATTTGCATCACTTCTGGAGACACATTCAAATCAACATAACTGGGTGCAGAAGCCTTCGCATCATTAGTCCACCTACTTTGAATTAAAGTCCATGGCAAATATGTGTAGTCCAAGTGCCTCAAAATGTGAAGTTGATGGCGACACGGAAGTCCAACGGTTTCGAATTTTTTGCATGAGCAAATTAGAGTTTTCGTACGAGAATCAAAACTAATTTCAAATTTCCTATTTTATTCTGCGTACTTTGACAAAATATAATGTTGACATTCATCTGATAAGGACTTAATCTCTGCCTCAATCCGGTACAATGTCTCCCGTATAAGTTCATCTTGGAACACACGAAAAGATTCGCGGGTAAAAATCGCAGCGGCATGGCTTTCAAGGTCGACCAGTTTTGTGATCTAAAAGGGCTTCGTATGGGAACTTAAGTAATCCACTTTCAACTCGTTCATACGCATTCTACTAATTCCATCTTCAATTGCACGAACAACATCTAAATATGTCTTCTTGTGTTTCAGTGCAATAGCTAGTGAAGCATTCATAGACTCGCACCTTTGTGTTGAGTGAATATTGGCAAAGAAATGACCGGTTAGATATGCTTGTTCCCATAAGTGTCGTGTATTTCCCTTCTCAATCACCCATGGATGCTTTTGGACGTTGAATTCTGAAACAACCGAACGCCATTGAATATCAAATTCCTTGGTTGTCCACCAGGAAGCCATGCATTTTGAGAATGCTGCTGTAAACTTTGGGTCACCAATGTTAGCTTGTGCATTGCGAGAAAGATGCCAAGAACATAATCTGTGATTAGCATAAGGGATAACATATTTGATAGCCCTCTGCATTGCTCTATCCCCATCGGTGACAACTGAAATAGGTGATTTATTCATCATGGCTTCTAAAAAATTCTGTAGCACCCACTCGAAAGATTGAGACGTCTCGTCAGCGATTATGGAAGTGGCAAACACAATTGTGTTATGGTGATGATTGACACCAACAATAGGCATAATTGGTCGACCATGCAAATTATCTTTGTACGTTGTGTCGAACGCAATTACATCACCGAAGCATGTGTAATCCGATCTCGATGTAGAATCCGACCAAATAAGATTATACAATGCCCCCGATTCGTCTACCGAGTATGTCATAAAAAACTCGGGATCATCATGTTTCTTATAATCAAAGTAGGCAATAAGCGCATTCACATCCCCATCGACGATTTCCTTTGCTTTACCTCTTTGAAGTGCATTGTAGAGGTCTTTATGTGTAAATCCAACATTATAATAGCCCCCTGCCTGCTGCGTTAAATAGTTCATTACTTGTGACGTGCCAACACCGACCTCTTTCAATGTTGTTGCCTCATCGATATCAGCCTTACTTACAGCTCTATTAGAACGCATAAATGGTGTCATAGTAGGTGTGCACAATGCATGATTATGTTTCTGATCAGACTTACTTATAACCCACTGATCGTTTGTATTTGTTGCTGTAACTACGACTCTAGCCTTACATCCTGTTCTTGTGACTGGCGTATGAGCACGTTGACGATCAACAGTATTGACTTTTGATACTCGAAACCCTTCTTTGGAACAACAAAATTCTTGTGTCTTCACATTCCCTTCCACGTCAAGCCATGTTGTTCCCTTACGTGTACTAAACCCATGTTCCCGTGTGAATCCCTTGTAAAAGTACCAAGCTTGATCACGTGAACAAAAGAGCTGACCAACCAATCTGTCAGATTCATCAACATTATGTACTTCATGGCATTCTTCGGTTGGCTTAACATTGTCTACATCAGTATTATCCATGGCAAAAATTTTGTTGTGCAAGTTCAGTGGTCCAGGAGTTGATGGAGATGTAAGCAAAGGTTCATTTTGAACATGTTTCAGTCGTGCTGCTTTCAATAGGATGTGGTATTGGTAGTGGTAGTTAAAGGGTGGGTACAACATTAAATTCGCAGTACATATTTAGGTATGTACAATAACTACAAGTATCGACCCAAAAAACATCAAAACCAATAATTATAATGTAATAGGTAAATTAACAATGTAACAAGTATCGACCCAAATTAATATTATTTTATAAAATATCAAAACAATCAAATAATTTTTTGTGTAAATGAAATTATTAAATTAATATTGTAGATGGAAAACATGAAACACTATTAAAAAATTGAAACATAAATTACATAACTTTAAAAAAAGTATCGATCCTTTTTATAAAAAGTATGGACACTTTCAATATAATAGGTAAAAATATGATGTAATAAGTAGCGCTTATATAATGTAATAGGTAGCGTTTATATAATGTAATAGGTAGTGCTTATATTGTAAAGTATCTATCCTTTTTATAAAAGTGTTCATACTTTTTTCACTGTGGAAAACATTAATTTAAGGTTATCTTTTGAGTGAGTTTTAAGATATTAATTTAATAATTATAGGCGTCTAATGATTTATTTTTTACGTTACGGTATATATTATTATTAAATTAAAAACAATAAACATATATATTACATATTTATTATTATCTTTGGTTAATATTGTTAAATTTAAAATCTAAATAATATTTTATAAAATATCAAAACAATCAAATAATTTTTTGTGTAAATGAAATTATTAAATTAATATTGTAGGTGGAAAACATGAAACACTATTAAAAAAAATTGAAACATAAATTACATAACTTTAAAAAAAGTATCGATCTTTTTTATAAAAAGTATGGACACTTTCAATATAATAGGTAAAAATATGATGTAATAGGTAGCGCTTATATAATGTAATAGGTAGCGTTTATATAATGTAATAGGTAATGCTTATATTGTAAAGTATCTATCCTTTTTATAAAAGTGTCCATACTTATTTCACTGTGGAAAACATTAATTTAAGGTTATCTTTTGAGTGAGTTTTAAGATATCAATTTAGTAATTATAGGCGTCTAATGATTTATTTTTTACGTTACGATATATATTATTATTAAATTAAAAACAATAAACATATATATTACATATTTATTATTATCTTTGGTTAATATTGTTAAATTTAAATTCTAAATATTATTTTATAAAATATCAAAACAATCAAATAATTTTTTGTGCAAATGAAATTATTAAATTAATATTGTAGGTGGAAAACATGAAAAACTATTAAAAAAATTGAAACATAAATTACATAACTTTAAAAAAAATATCGATCATTTTTATAAAAAGTATGGACACTTTCAATATAATAGGTAAAAATATGATGTAATAGGTAGCGCTTATATAATGTAATAGGTAGCGTTTATATAATGTAATAGGTAGTGCTTATATTGTAAAGTATCTATCCTTTTTATAAAAGTGTTCATACTTATTTCACTGTGGAAAATATTAATTTAAAGTTATCTTTTGAGTGAATTTTAAGATATCAATTTAGTAATTATATGTATCTAATGATTTATTTTTTATGTTACGGTATATATTATCATTAAATTAAAAACAATAAACATATATATTACATATTTATTATTATCTTTGGTTAATATTGTTAAATTTAAATTCTAAATATTATTTTATAAAATATCAAAACAATCAAATAATTTTTTGTGCAAATGAAATTATTAAATTAATATTGTAGGTGAAAAATATGAAACACTATTAAAAAATTGAAACATAAATTACATAACTTTAAAAAAAGTATCGATCCTTTTTATAAAAAAATATGGACACTTTCAACATATTATAATGTAATAGGTAAATTTGCAATGTTATCGGTATAAATATACAGGTTTTCTTATAAAATAGGTCAATATAAACGCTACTTATTACATTATATAAGCGCTACCTAATATGTTATTGTACTTTATAATATTTTCGGTTAAATAATATAACATAACCGGTCTAAATTTTAACCGATCACACCGTATATTAGCCGTTTCTTAAGCGCCGCACCGCAAAACTACCCGAACCAGGGCTAATTGATTAAAACCCCCATCACTTAACCACCAAGCTAAGTCTTTCATTTGTTTAATTTTTGCATATTATTTCTCACACATTTTATCAAACACTTTCTTCATCCCTCTAATTCCAAGGATGTGTGCACCCACAAAATATGAACCGAATGCCAGAGCCAGAACGGAGATGCTCACAGAAAGTTCATTAACTCCCAGCCATTCCAAAACTGTGAAACACGAAAAATACAGAATTGAAATATTATTCACTCAATTTCGTATATTGAAATGCCAAACTTGCAATCTTAATGCAAAGTGGGGGATGGAGGAGTGTAATGTAAGGGTTTACTTAAAGCTATAGCAAAGACGACAATGAAGAAAATGGATTGGGCATGAGATGATGGCATCCCCGGGTCGGACTTAAGCCCGGCCATAGGCCACTCCTGGTTCAGCACATGTTTCAGCGCAACTGAGAGCATCGCGTTCACAATCGAACCCATCGCCATCCATAAAGCCTCAGCGTTGTGCCTCCAAAGTATCACCCCTCCGAACAAAGCCGCCACCAACCACTCGCTCTATCATTTCCAAATAGCCAACCAAAAAAGAAAACCCACTTCATTAAACATTGAAAACAAATATGCATCCTAATACTGGATATGAGATAAATATACTCACCAGACGATTCAAAGTGGGCTCTAAACTTTGGACCCGTATTGATCCATCGATGAGACCTTCTTGTTCAACTTTGATCACTTGAATAGCATCGTCTCCGTCCCCGGAGTCCTTCAACACCGAAGTTTGAACCATAGTTCTTGGACGATCCTGTAACCCAATTTTTGGGGTCAAGATCCCTCCAAGAAAACTAGTTTTCCGGGTTCGGAGACAAAGGGAAATTTCCGGGTCAAAGGTTTTATAATGTTTGGGTGAAGAATTACGCTTGAATTTAAAGAGCAGGGGCTGGAAAGGAGTTGAAATGGAAAACATGTTTTTGGGCGACGATGAAAGGAAATGAATTACAAGTGTAGATTAGAAGCATGGTTTTATTTAATGAAATTTGTGGGATTTCTGTAAAAGCATGTGGAGTGTGGTTTATGTATTGGTGACCATTACTTCGAAAAGGATAAGAAAAATGAAAAAGAACACACTGAAAATTTTTTTTTGTGTAAAATCACGTGTTAAGAGGGAGAAGAAATTGCATGTTAAGAGGGGATGAAGAAGGTGTTTGATAAAATGTGGGAGAGATATAATATATATGTTAAATATTTTGCAATGCAAAAAATAAACAAGTGAAAGACTTGGCTGGGTTGTTAAGTGATGGGTTTTAAACTATTGGCCCAGGTTCAATTCCCCACAAAAGTAATTTTGATTGGTTTAAATTTAAATCAATATGGTGTCATATGATGTTGGCACGTGTCATCATTTCATTAGACAAAAAATATTAAATATAAATATTAAAAATAATATTTTAATTTTTATTTAAAAAATTGATGACTTGGCATTACACGTGTACATGCAACGTCAACATTTAGTCTACGTGTATTTGCCACGTCATCATCTACTATGATATGGACATGCCACGTCAGTATCTCCCTCCACATGTTCTTGCTGAATTAGTTTCAGGCGTTGACCGTTAGTTAACTAACTGTTTTTATCCAACGAGGGTGCGTTTTGACCCAAAATGAAACGTGAGGAGGTCAAATGTTCCCAAAAAACGATTTGGGCACAATTGCATATATAGTTAAACGTTAAGGGTATTTGTTTACTTTATGCCTTAATAAAATCAGTAAATAAAATGTATCTATACAATCATCATATAGTTGGTCTTTGGGCATACTTTAACATGCAACAACAACATAAAGCCATGCCATGTTATGGAAATTTGGTATCTATGGCATCACAATTGAACAGCTCCAAATAACAGCATATAAGAAGTTTCCCCATATAAACATGGAGCGTCATGCCCTTCTCTGTGGTAACAGTTAGATTTATGAATCGCTATACATTCATCCAAAATAAAAAACTTAAAAGCACGTTGGAAAAAGTAGCAATTAATTAAAGAAAAGAAAAACATTAACTCAATTCAATAATGATGGAATTGAATTTCTATTTTTTAGTGAATTACATGAAAATTTATCTAACTCCTTATAATAACCGGAATGTGTGAAATATAAAATGCGAATGAACAGAATGAATGAATAGAAGAAGAAAAAATTTACCTAAATTTGAATTTATATTTATAATAAATATATCCATTAAAGAATTTATAAATTTTATTTAACCATATGGAGTTTTGCCTATAATAAAAAATAAAATAATAATTAGACAGTCATATGAAGTAACTCTTGTATGGGGTAATGGATACCTATGTTACTTGGAGTCTGATATGAGAAACGAGTGTAGGAATGAAATTTATTAAAGTTTTTTCGCATATTTCAAGGGTTATTAGAAGATCATATCCTAATACTCATATCTGGGTATGGCCAATATTTAAAGAATAATGAAGAGAACAAAAGGATTTATCAAGTACCACATACAAGTTGAAGTTGTTAACACATAAGCAATGACAGACCTATACAAGCTCAGGTTCTGAAGGAAAACACACATCCATGTGCGGTTTCTACTTGAATTATTCAACCAAATTAGGCTTCATAGGTGGAAGGTTTACTAAAGAGACAAGAAAACAAAAGATGACAAAGAGTTAAAAGTTAGTATAAAACAACCGAGATAATGCCAAATAGCATCCGTGTAAGCCTTGATTTGTGTCCATCATCGGATCAATAACAATCAGAAAGAAAGAAGGTTGAAATAAAGATGATAATAGCAAAAATAAGCAAAGCAGTATGCCCTGCTACCCATCCTAGCTGTGAAGTACTCTATACCAAGGATAAAACTCCAGAGCCTATAACAGCAGTGATTATGAGTACCACACAACTCCACAAGGTCCCTGATTGAGTTCCCATACATACATACTGTAAAGTTAAAGCTCTATCAGACCGAAACCAAAAGAACATAATACTAATTTTAAGCTCTTTTTATACAATCCCATTTCTACTCCTACTACTCATTTCTTTACAACAACTTGTTCAAGATTGAAGGCCAAGGGAGTTTTCTCATTTCTTACATTTCTATTTTTCTTACATTCATATTTAAAATTATATTGATCCTTTATGAACTTATACATTAATTAAGATATATTGTTATGTTATAATATCAAATATTATGCATGATAGTAGCCCCACACTCCTATTGTAATACCCCAAATATGAGGTCAGTGACTTTATTAAAAATATTTAAAATTTGAGGATTTATTTGAATAAATGATAAAATATAATAAATGATTTGGAATAGTGATTAAGACCAATTAGTAACAATGGATGAATAAAGAGGGCATTTTGGTCCTTTAAGGGGAACTGAATTTAAAATGCATTTCCTTATTATGGATTTAAACAGGGAAAAGGGGAAAGTTAAAGCCAACAAAGTTATCTCTTCTTCTTCTTTTTTCCCGTACAAGTACTCTCCTCCATAGCCAAAGGTAAGGCTTCATTTAGCTAGCTTTTCCTTTCATTTTTGGGTTGATTTTGAAACATTGAGTATTGTAGAGGCCTAAGGAAGGGTTAAATAAGATTAAAACTAATAGTATGATAGATTATTTGAGATTGAAGAAAATGGGTTTTTGAATGATATGTTGGAATATGAGTTTTTATTGATGTTTACTAGTATATTTGACTTGTCAAAGAAGTAAATACGAGATTAGAAGTCTTGGATATGATTAAAAACATGTTAAAAAAGTGGTATGATTCTTGGTTTGAGATGTTTTTTTGGAGATTTATATGTTATAAGAAGCTAAATGAAGGAAAATTGGTTAGGTACGTAAATAAGAGTTTAATAGTATTACTGGGAGTAAACATATAGGAATTTGACCAAATTTGGGTAAAAATCGAGATGAAAAATGGAAATATGGGTAAGGGTACCGGTACTGGAAGAACAATACCGGTACTATAGGTTTAAATCTGAATAATTTTGATGAACAATATAGATACTGATGCAATTAGTATCGATACTAAGAGAAAGGTATCGATACGATGGATTCCAGAATACATAAATGGTATCAATACTGAAAGGGAGTATCAGTACCATAATATAGAAGTATCGATATCAGGGTAGGGGTATTGATACTATTAAGCCTGAAATTGTATGATAGGTTGAAATTTGAATAGAAATTGAAAATAATAGTACTTTTGAGTAGTATTAACAGTATAAATGTTAGAGAGTATACTAAAATTTGTATGGTATGTGTAATTAATGGATGCTTGTGTAGATCATAACCAAGCTCCCGAGTCAAGCAAGAAAAAGGATAAGGGTAAAGTTACAAAGTAGTTGGACGCCATTTCAGCATACTAAGGAGCTATATAAGGTTAGCGCATTTATTGTATTTATACAAAAATAAGGAAGACTCGTAATAAGTCAACTTAGAACATTTTGATTTAATGTATATTTTACAATATTTGATATACTTTCCTTAAGTGTATAGCAATGATATTATGAATAAGATTTAGCGTATCAACTGCTCTAAAATGAATGAAGAAAAGTTAAATACCTAACTATGCATATTGGCAGAAAGGTGCCATTTATACAAGTTAGATGATCAGTTAAATTCCTAACTATGCATATTGGCATAAAGGTGTCAATAATGAAAGTTAGATGAAAGGCCTAACTGTACATATTGGCATAAAGGTGTTAATAATGAAAGTTAAATGAAAGGCATAACTATATTTTTTGACAGAAAGGTGTCAATAATGTAAGTTAGATGAAAGACCTAACTGTGCAATTGGCAGAAATGTGCCAATAATGCAAGTTAGATGAAAGTCCTAACTGTGCAATTGGCAAAAAGGTGCTAGTAATGCACGTTAGATGAAATGTTAAATGCCTAACTATGCATTTGGCAGAAAGGTGCCAATAAAGCAAGTTAGATGAAAAGTTAAATGCCTAACTGTGCATTTGGCTGAAATATGCGACTAATGCAAGTTAGATGAAAAATAGTGTATTTCAACATAAACGATGCCAATTATTGGTTTAACTAAAAAGATTGTAAAGGGTTTTCATTAAATATATGAATTATATCGTCGTTGATAGTCATGACATGATTATGAATAAATTGTATTTTCATTACAGTATTATGCCTCACTATGAAATTACTTAACGTGTGTTGATTTCACTGTGTCGCGGTCGTCTTTCAGGTGGGCCCGGAATTGGGCTGTCTCAAAAATCAATTAACAGGGGGCAGAAAAAAAAAGAGCATTCATCAACCATAAAAAAAGAAGAAACCAAAGAGAGGGGGTCATCAACAAAAAAGAAAAAACCAGAAGAGATCAGGAACTATTGGGGGGATACCAAAAGGGGAAAATTTTTGTATTCGGGTGAGAAAACCTAAATAAACAAGTTTAATAGATTTTTTCAAAGCAATACAAAGAAATTTTTCCATATTTCTCTCTTCCTTTTGTTCGAAAAAAATCCATAGTACTCGTTAAGGTATTTTTTGTTTCACTTTCATATGCTTTGTTTGTAAAAGATTTTTTACCTAAGTTTGTTTCTTCGGGTCTTCATTGGAGTCAGGTGTTGGGGCGTTTGTAATCATCTCTGAGTTTTTGTAGGGTTTTCATGTAGCTTTTAAGGGTTGTTTGGGTCTTAGGGTTTCCGTTTAAAGTGGTTTAGGGAGTTGGTTCAGGATGTGGTTTAGGTTTAGGAGTGGCCCTGCCACCATCAATGGTGGTCAGGTTTCAAATCGAAGCTTTTAAGGGTGGTTGTTAGGGAGATTTGTGTTTTGTTCTGGGTCTAGGTAAGTAGATTGACAGGTTTAAGATTTTTAGGGTGTAGGTTCGATGTTATCCAACCACCACTGCTGGTAGTCGGTGAAGGCTATGGGTTTCTGGTTACATGGTGGCAGGAGGAGTCGAAGAGTGGATGAGAGGGAAACAGTGGAGAAGAAGATAAAAGCGGCCGGGTGGTTTAAAAGTGATTAGGTTTAGGTTAAATGTTTTATTAGGGTTTTTTATATATTGAGT